TCAAGATGTGAAATTTCAGTTTTCTGAAAATACATAGAGCATGTGGAATACTTTTCTTGGAGCAGAAAAGGTTTGGGGAAGATTTAACAGCATGGTCAAAATTTGCGTTGACTGAATGAGATGGAGTTTGGGACAAGAAGGCAGTTGTGAACTTATTTAACATCGTCATAATCTCAGGATGTCCCAAGGTGCTTTTCAGCCAATTAAATATTTGAAGTGTCATCATGGGAGCAATTGTGACAGCCATTGGATATATTGGCAAGTGTAAATAAAGAGAAACAGGATTCTCCGGCAGGTGGATTGAGAGATTTTGGATAATTGACATTGTCTGAAAGACTGGAGGATTCGATAATACTTTTGAAAAGAGACATAATAAGAGATATATGGATAGAAATTTGGAAAAAAAATTCTTAAGTCTATTGGGAAAGAACAGCAGAGTTGGACGAATTAGATTTGTCTTTTATAGATCTGATGGAGAGAGTACCTCTTCGAGGTATGTTGGACGGAACAGTCTCCTTCTGTAGGATTCTGAGAATTTAAAATAGTCATTAGTAATGGTATTAATGGAAATTGAAATGCTGTTCCAGCTGCGTAACTTAAGTGCTTCACACACGACTGAATAACTAGGTTTCAAGTTGTTGTGATAACGTTATCCACAAGAGCTAGCCCTGGAGTCTTAAATTTAAGCAGCCTATAATTAGTAATATTCATAAATAGCTTGAAATTGGGTTAGTGTACGATGCCACTTGGAACCTCCTCGCTATTCAGAGATCTGGGTATTGCAGTGCATGTGTATCTAGTTCTATTTTGCAGGTTAAGATTGCATACAGTATTTGGCTAAGATGGCAGTCAGGATTGTACATGCTTGATTTTTATATTAGCATGATGCAGGCATTGCTTGCAGAACATAGAAATCAGTAGTGCAGAGAATACGCGTGTGAAACTAGTTCACACAAGTACTTGACAAAGGGGGATGACAATATTCTCTTTAGAGCTGGATTTTGAATTAAGAGGACACAGGTGGTATGAAATAATACTAAAGATGCTTTGATCTCTCGAGCAAAATGGCCATCTTACGTTTTTATTAAGTGTGGAAATACAGTCAGCTAAACAAATATTACATCTTGTCCTATCGATCTGAAATTTCACAGAAGGGAATTTGTGCCTCATGACACCAAGGTGAAGATTCTGTAGTTATGTGTCCATCTTTTGTGATTCCAAATTTAAATTGCAGATATGCATTTAGACTTTTTAAAAATAATGTTCATTTAGACAATACAATGTCAAACTTAGATGAAATATTGCAAGAGTCCTACAGAAGAAGGAAATTGCATAACATACAACAGAAGTTGTATTTAAAAGTAATCATAGTAGTTGAAGTATTTTTTAAACAAAGAACCTTATTATATTGACAAATGTGCTAGTAAAAATAGATCTTTTAGAGTCGTAGCATTGTACACCATGGAAACAGACCCTTGGGTCCAACTTGTCCATGCTGACCAGATATCCTAAATTAATCTAATCTAGTCCCATTTGCCAGCATTTGGCCCACATCCCTCTAAAACCTTCCTATTCATGTACCAATCCAGATGCCTTTTAAATGTTGTAGTTGTACCAGCCTCCACCACTTCCTCTGGCAGTCTTTTTGCCATTGATGCTTACGGACTAAATTAATACTTTTAGCACTGTTTGCTCATGTAAAGTTGCCTTACATCCATTTTGCCTTTTAAATAAGTTAAGTCCTGCCAATGACTTGAACAGGAAGCCAGAGCTATTGACATAATGTTTATCTGTCCACACAGCACTCAAACCAAAAGTAATGTGCCTGTTGTGCTGCTAACTGCATCCCCTGTTGACTGGCTCGCCACTTTACATGGGGAATGAGGTGAAGGATGAGGCAACCAATGGTCCTTTGAGTGCTCTGTTTGGATCAACAACTATTAATTCAGCTTAAGGGTACTTGGCTGTCAAGTGAAATATACTTTAAGTATGAAGCCATTACCCAAGCCCTGCAGCTTTACTGGCAGTAACAGCCGAGGGACTGACACTGCATGGGCTATGAGGGTGCCTAGTGCAATTGTGGTGGTAAAAAACACGACCGTACAATTCCAATTTTACCCAGTGTCATTGTTAACTATTTTCATCCATTGATGCTACCAGACTTGTTGACTGTTTCCAATATCTGCAGAACTTTGCTTGGGTGCCTGTGTGGACAGTCTGTGATCTTTCATGAGAACTGGGCAAAGTTAGAAATGCAAAAGGTTTTGAATAGTAAAAAGGGCAGGTAGGAAAAAGAACAAAGGGGATTTCTTTAAAATTGAGGTCATTACTGTAGCTGAAAGCAATTCTTTATAAAGGTGAGATAGAGAAGGGATTAAGTGCCAAAAAGTTGTGGTGCAAGGCTAAAGGGAGTGGCCTTGAAGGGAGAAACAAAGAATGTCTATAGGAGATGTGAATAGCAAGATACTGGAAGTTCCTACCTAAAAGCAAAGGAAAAGAATAGAGAAAAAGAGTTGTAAGGTCGAACTTCTGATTTTGAACAGGAAGAATGTGTCACATTAATAACGATAAGTAGAGTAGATTTAAACAATGCTTCAGTGAAATGTGCTTATTTTGTCCTTAGAATACATTGGCAAGTACTTTTAACAGGAAAACTGTTTGCACAAACTCAACAGAGCTTCTCCGTTAAGTTTTCAGTTCTGTCACTTTTTTTTTTATAGTACTGACACCTTGAGATCAAATTGAGGACAATGTGGGAGTTTTCATGTTTCACCACTGTTCCTTCTGTTACTATGTCAACATTCAGCACAGATGGAGATTATATCCTGGTGTCAAATGGGGCCTTTATGCCAGCCCAGAACACCGAGTTACTATGCCAAAACTTGTACTTGGTATATTTTTCAGTTACCTGGCAACATAAATGTTAACAGATGGTGCCACTGACATTTTATCTGGTGTCTTTCACATCTCGCTTGGCATGGAGAGTGATTGTGATCTTTTTTAATTTTACATTTGATTTAAAATACTATGGTTATGATCAACAATAAACCTTGTCCCCTACTTAAGTTGGTATGTTAAATATTTACAAAATAGGTAAGCAAACAGGGTAATCACTGAAATAATTTATTTCCCAAAAATTCAAAAGTGAAAGTGAAAAGTGGGCGGGTGGATAAAGACAGAATTGTGGTTGAGGACGATAAAGAAGAAATTCAGACCAGTAGCTCCTGTGATGTCTGTACTCATGTAGAGACTACATAGACTTAAAATTAGGGGAAGAGAAGCAATCAATCTAATCATTACTTTAGCTGAAAGCAATTTTTATTTTCTATTTGGTCTACTCAGTGCATTATGGCTCCCACCATATGTAAGCTTCAAGTATTTTAGCGCAGATACTGTGTGCACTTGTCTTTTGCATTTATGTTCAGTGTATTGTACTACCTTCATAAATAGGAATGCTTTAAAAAAAACTTTTATTTTCTGTGGTGATGTTCAGCCTGCAGTGCAGAATTATTGGTGTTGAATCCAGGTAGAGGTGTATTAGCAGTCAACCACCACCTTTATTTCCCAGCCTATGCACACAATTTCAAAACTTGATCATCTTTAGTACAAGTAACAGATTTATATTTCCTGAATAGTCCTACAACACAACAGTATTCATTTGTGCGATGTTACTGGCTGGGCCAGAATTTGTTGCCCATCTGCAGTTGTTTTGAAAAGGTGGTGGTAAGCTGCCATTTTAAATCACTGCAGTCTGTTTGCTCTAGGTAGACCCACAATGCCATTGGGGAGGGAGTTCCAGAATTTTGACCCAGTGACACTGAAGGAGTGGCGATCATATTTCCAACTGTGGAATGAGAGTGGCTTGAAGGGGAACTTGCAGGGCATCGTGTTCCCATGTATCTGTTGCCCTTATCCTTCTAGATGGTAGCGGTGGTGGGTTTGGAAAATGCTGTCTAAGGAGCCTTGGGGGATTTCTGTAGTGCATCTTCTAGACGGTACATACTGCAGTTTCTGAGCTCAGTGCTAGAGGGAGTAAATGCTGTTTGATGTGGTGTCAGTCACATGGGCTGCTTTGTCCTGAGTGGTATCAAGCATTAAGTGTTGTTGGTTGCACTCATCTAGACAAGTGGGGAGTATTCGGTCATACTCCTGACTTGTGCCTTCTAGATGGCAGGCAAGCTTTTTGGAATCAGGATGTGAATTACTCGCTGCAAGATTCCTTGCCTCTGGCTTGCCCTTGTAGCTACAGTACTTATGGTGGTTAGACAAGTGCAATTTCTCATTAATAGTAACCCTCGGATGTTAGTGGAAGATTCAGTGAGCTTGATGCCATTGAACGTCAAGCAGTGGTGGTTAGTTTCTCTCTTACTGAGGTGGTTATTTCCTGGCATTTGTGTGGCATGAATGTTACTTGTACCTGTTAGCCCAAGCCTGGATATTGTCCAGGCCTGCATTTGGACATGGACTGCTTCAGTATCTGACAAGTCACCAATGCTGCTGAACATTGTGCAATCAGTCATCAGTGAACATCCCCACTACTGAGCTTAGAGGGGGAATCAGTTTTCCAGAGGTAACCTTTTCCATCCAAATACATCTATGGGTATATTAATTCCTATCATTATTTCATAAGCATTGGCCTTGGAATCTAATAATGAGTGGAATTAGATTGTGTAACCTGTGGAGAATAACATTAGTGCAGAATTGACTGTCTGAGAGGTCTGTTTTTATGCTATAACATTGAGAGACGAGGGTAGCTGAGGTGACACATTTTCCCTTTGCATGATATCGGAGCTGTTCTGTATTTAGTTTACGCACACCTCCTAACTCACGTAATTTACAATATCCTTACTCAAATTTTCATTGTTTTATTTTCAATAAAAATGTTATAAATTTGTCCTGTTAGCTGACCTAATTTTAAATTTTGTCGTGGTTAAACAACCTCTGATGAAAATAGAGATTTGGTGATTGTAGGCTTTTAAATTAATGACTTTTTCCACCAGGAATTTGAAGATGCGTTGCTGGTCGATAACTGGGAATTCTTAGAGGACCTAGTTTCCAAGCTACTTCGAGGATGTTATCAACGCAAAGATATTAGGTCAGTGGTATAGCTAGTGTTGCGTACTTCATTAATTGTTATTAGATATTTTAATGTGTTCAGTTGTATTTAATGTCAGGATAATCAAGTTTATTACTGCTAGTGCAATAAAAGAGAGATGTTATAATTGCACGCTGTCTGAGCTGATGCTACATTGTTTATATTGCCCTTGGTGTTTGAATCTTAGCAACTGGCTAGATAGGATACAGACTCTATGAATTCGCTTCAGTTTGAAGAATACAATCCAGTAATCTAAAAGTAAAGTCTATAAATTAATAAAGATGAAGTAATTGGAATAACGTGAGAAAATCTGTTTTCACTACATCTTTATTATGCAGTCTCCAAATTTAAGTTTTCTGTTAACTGACTTTGTGTATTTTTGATATCGATTTGAATTAATGTTGGATGAATTGAAAAAGAAGTAATAAAATGAATTGTGTGTAGTCTTAAACACTAAGACAATTATAACTTAAGGTCTTTATCATCAGATTGTCTAAAGTGTAGTGGAACTATTTACTGTGTTACAGCCCCACCCTGCATGATGCATTTGATTGCTTTGGCAGATAGAACTGTTTTGAGAGAGAATGTTTTCAGCAATGTCACTAAACACTCCTCTGTATCTTTTAATTCGGCAGTTATTATATTTTTGAGAAATAATTTAGAATGCTGTATGAAGATTGACGTAAAGTTGTGAGACTGTAACTTAATTGTAGCTTTTTTAAAATTATATCTGGTGATCAACTGTGTTCACTTTGTGGTCCTTTTTTTTTGATGGTACTAGCTGAAGTGGAAATGAAACATGTCCAGATTTTTGCAGATCTAATTGAGTACAGCAATTTATTTCAACTCTTGTTACCAGGAAAGGAAGGTGAAGGAAATGCATCATAAATTACTATACAACATTAATAGCTGTAGGCAGAAAACATTTCATGATTCCAGTGCTAGGCCCAGAGCCTTGAATATCAAAGTTGTGATACCCACCTCAACCACCCTCCCGGGCACTGCATTAGAGAACCCCCCACAGCCCTCTGGGTGAAAAACCTTTTTCCTCAAGTTCCCTCTAATCCTCCTACCTTTCATCTTAAAAGTGTATCACTTTGCTGTTGACCCTTCAATTAAGGGGAACAGCTGCTTTCTACCCAGCCTGTCCATGCCACGTTTAATCTTTTATACACCTCCACTAAGTGTCATCTTTGCATCCCCCCATTCTTCATTAGTCCAAAGAAGAAAACCTGAGCTTATCCAGCCTTTCTTCATAGCTAAAGTGCTCCATTCTAGCCAACATCCTGTGAATCTACTCTGCAGCTCTTCCAGTGCCATCACATCCTTCCTATCATGTGGTGACCAGAATTGCACACAATACTCCATCTGTGGCCTAACCAAAGTTCCCTACAGCTCCAACATAACCTCCCTGTTCTTATAATCTACGTCTCATATGCCTTCTTAATTATCCCAGTAACCTGTCCTGCCACTTTCAGTGATTCTAAGATCCTTCTGTTCCTCTGAGCTTCCTTGTGTCCCATTGTTCATTCAGTACGCTCTTGTTACTTCTTCCGAAGTGCATAATTCTTCAATAGTGAAGACGTGAAACTTTCACTTATCCCATAAAATCTTAACACCATAACCCAGAAATTATGTGTGATAATTAGTCACAGAGTCATTGAGATGTATAGCATGCACCCTTTGGTCCAACTTCTCCATGCCAACAAGATATCCTAAATTAATCTAGTCTTATTTGCCATCATTTGGCCCATATCCCTCTAAACCTTCATATTCGTATACACACCTAGATGCCTTTTAAATGTTGTAATTGTACCAGCCTCCACCAGTTCCTCTGGGAGCTCATTCCAATACATGCACCACCGTCTGCATGAAAAAGTTGCCCTTTAGGTCCCTTTTAAATCATTCC